CCCCTGCAGCACAATTACAAGCCAAATGCTGTGGCTGTTCAAGGAGAATGAGAGGAAATTTGCTCTGAAATAGGAGGAGAAACTGACCTGGCTGGTTTGGTAATAAGTCCAAGGAGCACAGTGTCCTCTGGCGCCGACAGTTGCTGGGATAAGTCTGTTCCTCTTGTGGGTCAGGCCGACCCTCTCCGGCCAGTTGACTCATGACAAGAGGAGGTGGTTGACAGTTATGGAAATCCCTCTGCGTCCTTGACGGCGACGTGTGCTGAGATGGGAGATGAGAGAGATTTTTATGCGCTGAGAAACAATAAGGAAAAGTGGCATGAATGAAGCAGGTTACAGAACAATGTGTAACATAGTATAGCACATATATGTATTTTTACAAATATAAGTGAGTTTCCATAAAAATATGTGAAAGAATATATAACAACTGTTCACAGAAGTGAGATGGAAGAAGGCAGAGAGGGTGCTTTCATTTTTTATTATGTAAGCTTTGATAGTGTTTGAATTTTTCTAAGGAGAATGCATTGGTTTCTTCCCCCCACCCCCAATATTCTTTGGTATTTATTGCAATATCATTTTTAAAGTCAGGTTTATTTAAGTAAAACTTATATATCATTACATAGCCATTATACATGTACTATAGTAAAAGCTCTCTTTTGAAAGCATAGGCTAGCTGAGTTTTGATACATGCTCACAGTTATTTAAACACCACCACAATCAAGACATAGACTTTATTTACATCCATCACTCCAAAGACGCTCTTCTGCCCTTTTGTAGTCAAGCTCCTGCCTTACTCCCAGCCCCAAGTGACCACTGATCTGATTTCTGTCTCGGTTGTTTAGCCTTTTCTAGAATGTTAACAATGGAATCATACAGTAAGCACGTAGCTTTTTATGTCTGGCTTTTTTCATGTAACACAATGTTTTTGAGATTTATCCACGCTGTTGTTTATAGTGGATTGTTCTGTTTCTTTACTGAGTAGTATTCCACTGTACCATAGTTTGTCCAGTCACCAAGGTGGCTTGTTTTCTGCTTTTGGCAATTATAAATAAAGCTGCTGTAAACATTTTTGCATAAATCACTGTGTAGATATAAGTTTTCTTTTGGAAGGCAGCTATGCTCACCACTATACCACCAACGCGATATAAGTTTTCTTTTGGACAAATCCCTAGGAGTGAGATTGTTGGGTCATATGTTAAATATATGATTAATTTTCATAAGAAACTGCCAAACTGTTTTCCAAAGTGGCTGTACCATTTTGCATTCCCACCATGAGTATCCCAGATGCTCCACATCTTCACCAGCTTTCAATATTGGCAGTTTTTTGGATCTGAGTCATTCTAATAAATGGGTAGTGTGATCTTATTTAGGCTTCAATTTGTATTCCCCTATCTTTCTTTATCAGAGATGTGTTTTTGCAAATATTTTCTCCCTGTCTGTGACTCATTTTTTCATTTTGTGAACAATGTCTTTCAAACAACAAAAGGTTTTCATTTGATGAAATGTGATTTATTCTTTTTTTTATGTAGTTTTTCATTTTTGTGCCATATTTAAGAAATCTTTGCCTAATCCAGTGTAACAAGAATTTCCCCCATATTTTCTTTTAGAACTTTATAGTTTTAGCTCTTACATTTAGGTCTATAATTCATTTTGAGTTAATTTTTTTAACAATTTGAGGTATAATTCACATGCCACACATGTAATCCATTTAAAAGGTATGAGTCAATGGTTTTTAGTATCTTTAGAGTTGTGCAATCATCACCACAATCTAATTTTAAACATTTTCATCAAACTGAAAAGAAACCTCATACCCATTAGTAGTGACTTCATATTTCCCCTCCTACCCCCTTGGCTCCAGACAACCACTAATCTACTTTCTGTCTCTACAGATTTGCCTATTGGGTTAATTTTCATATATGGTAAGGGAAAGGGTTAAAGTTCATCTTTCCTGGATGTATATCCAACTGTTACAGCATCACCATTTGTTGAAAAGACTATCTTTTCTTTTTTT